TGTCAAGAGAAAGCACCCTAAAGAAAAAAACCCCCCCAAAAAAAAAAAAAAAAAAAAAACTATTTTGGCCTAAAATGGCTGCTGTACTCCCACACTTGGAGTCCAATGAATAAGCCAAAATCGTACATGTTAGGCTGTTTTCCTGAGTTGGTTACTAAGTTACAGCCAATCATACTAGCCATACTGCAGTCAAACAGAGAAAGCCTACCTTGGGACCAGCAGTTAGCGTAATGGCTATGTTGCTGGACTCCCACGTAGTTGACCATGGTTCGCGTCCCGGACCCGGTGGCTTAAAACTCATGCCGGGCGCATGTGCGTGCGTGCCCAAGATCCCAAGAGGAGAATGGAGGAGAAGGGATTGCGGCATGACCATCCCCCCTGGGGGGTGATTTCTCGCTTTCTGTCTCTCTGTCTCTCTGTCTGGCGAGCACATGCGCCCTATAGCAAAAACCTCTCCAAGAAAAAAAAAAAGAAAGCCTACCTTTTAGGCTGTTTGTGCAGCCCACCATCCACCTGAAACCAACTGAACTGTTTCTCTTACTCATTCCTTCACTTTCATTTTGTACATCAGTTTTCCCTTTTCTGGAATTTAAATATCAAATCAACCATTAGGCTAGCCAGAGTTGTTTGAAAGTCTGAGGGCAACTGCCTGATTTAAATCGTGTTCAAGATTTGCTCAATTAAAACTCTATTAAGTTAATTGTTTTTGTTTTTCCTTTTAACATACCTTAACCTCCATACTACCTACTGGTCTCCAAGGTTGATTTCCATACAAAATTTGACTGGTTCTTTCTTTGAGTAGGACCATTCCAAGCTTCCCAACTTTTATAGTAAAAACCTAACCATTGTCATACAATATTATCTATATCAAAGCATGCGGCACATCTTTAAATCAATAGTATAAAATTGCTACATTCCAGGTTTTTGCCAGTGAGCTTAACCTTGAAATGACATCCTGTGGGGACCAGCAGGTGGCGTTATGGTTAAGGTGCTGGACACTCCCACATGGCCGACCGCAGTTTGAGTCCTGGACCTGGTGGCTTCCTTTCTCCCTTTCTCTCTCTCTCTCTATGTCTCTCTCTGGTCAAATTAAAATAAATGAATGAATAAATAAAATTAAATAAATAATAATTTAAAAAAAAGAAATGACATCATGCTTCCTTGTCAAGTTGGGTTTATAGCACTTGATATTTGGGAAGACAATTTAACAGACAAGATACTACCCACACGTTCCTCAGTTCTTGCTATCACACTGGATCATAAGAAATAATTTATTTGGGGCCATGGTGGTTAAGGCAGCTGGATCCCACATGGCTGACTGTGTGGTTCTAATCCCATACTTGGTGGCTGGAGAAACACGCTGACATGTGTGTGTGTGTGTGTGTGTGTACGTGCTAAATCCCAAGAGGAGCATGGACAAGAAGAGATTGTAGCATGGCCATCTCCTCACAGGGGGTAGGGTGGGACCATGCTTTCTCACTTTGCTTCTCTCTAGTGAGCGCATGCACCCTATGACAAATTTTTTTAAAAATTAGAATTTATCTAGACATTAGCTTATGCCCTAAAGTAGAAATATCTATACAGTTTTACAGTTATAATCTTGGATTTTATCAAGCTTCAATATAGGGGAACCAGCAGTTAGCGTAATGGCTATGTCACTGAACTCCTATGCAGTCGACCACAGTTCAAGTCCCAGACCTGGTACCTTAAACTCACACTGGGCACGTGTGCATGTGTGCTCAAGATCCCGAGAGGAGAATGGAGGAAAAGGGATTGCAGTGTGGCCATCCCCCCTGGGGGGTGATTTCTCGCTTTCTATGTCTCTGTCTCTCTCTGTCTTTCTGGTGAGGAGATTTGCCACATAACAAAAACCCTCTAAAAAAAAAAAAAAAAAAAAAAAAAAAGATTCAATATAGGAAATGACAATATGGGAAAAGGGAAGCAATATTATAAATGTTTCAATGATAAATCTAATTTCCATCATAACGAAAAACGTGGTTTATTTCTAAGAGCTTCATATTCTAGATTTTTTTGTAAATTAGTGACACCAAAATCAGTTTGCCCAACCAACACGTGTAAAATGTTTTATAAGCTCCCTCAACTGGTTAAGATACAGAACTACCAGAAAACATGTTCCATTAAGTTGACTGTATCATCCTCTTCAGAAATTTCTGTCACTCCTGCCTGAGATCGAAGAATGGACATGATGTCATTAAATAATTTGTCAAAGCCATTCTGTAAACATACAGTTGCCATTTCTTGCCACTTTTCTAGGGAGCAAAATGAATCATTCATCACAAGATATTCTACTGCATCTGGGGAAAAAAGATACGACGTTATAGTATGGCACTTACTTGATAATACATACTTTGTGGTTATTCAGAAGTAGACAAAGACATAATTTCAGCTCAGTTACTGTTCAAATCTACCCAATTCCCATAAATTTAATGATACAGCAGATGGAGTGCCTAGTCTAGCTCGTAGTAAATACATTCGCTCCTTCTCCTCCACTTTCGCAATTACCCTCTTCATGTCTCAATTCTACCCTTTACCATTTCTCACCCACCCTATTCTTTCGCTCATCTTCATCTTGGTGAGGTAGCAAATGTTGAAGGCTACAAGGCAGGGAGCTCAGGGAGAGAGGAATGTGAGCTCATCCTGAATCAGGGAATCTATAATGCACCACTAGAAACTATCAACTGAGGACCTATAGGGCAAGTTTTCATGATCTTTCAAACACTTTTATAAATGCCTTATTAGTGCTGACCCAAGGGTTTAAGAAACTTTGACAAATCCTCCATCTCATCTCTAGATAGAGAACCCTTAATGATGAGGCTTCTATAACAAATATTTTTCTAAAGGAAATAAGATGCTTAAACAAATCTAATAATATTATTTACTCTAAAATTTTATTTTAGTGATTCTCTTTGGAATCTATCAATTTATAGAACTATTTTTTATCTAGTACCTGCATTATTTATGGTAATGGATGGTTATGAATACAGTCATTGACACTGTTTTATTTCTACCATAATTCATAATTATTTTCCTATCACATAATTTTTTTGAGAGTTTTTGTTTTTGTTTTTGTTTTTGTTAGAGGGCGTGTGTGCTCATCAGAAAGACAGAGAGAGACAGAGAGACAGAAAGCAAGAAATCACCACCCAGGGGAATGGCCACGCTGCAATTCCTTTTCCTCCATTCTCCTCTCGGGATCTTGGGCATGCACGCACGCACTCTCGGCATGAGTTTAAGCCACTGGGTCCAGGATTCTAACCGCAGTCGACTACATGGAAGTCCAGCAACAATACGCCAACTGCTGGTCCCCAAATAAAACATTTTAGTTTTTCCAGCACCATTTGCTGAAGAGGTTTTCTTTTTCCCACTGAATTGACTGGTACCCATTGTCAAAAATCAGTTGACTGTATGTTAGGGAATTTATTTCTGGAGACTCTATTCTGTTCCATTGGTCCTCCTGTCTGTTTCTGTGCCAGTACCATGCTGTTTTGATTACCACAGCTTTGTAGTATATTTTTGGGACAGGGAGTGAAATGCCACTCACTCCACTCTTCTTGTGTAGAATTGTTTTGGCAATATGGGGTCTTTTATGATTCCAGATAAATTTTATGGTTATCTTTTCTAGATCTGTGAAGAATGTGTCTAGTACTTTGATTGGCATTGCATTAAATATGTAGATTAGTTTGGGTAGAATTGCCATTTTGGTTATATTAATTCTTCCAATCCAGGAACATGGGATGTCCTTCCACTTTTTTGTGTCATTTTCAATTTCTTTTTTTTAGCTTCTGATAGTTTTCCTTGTGGAGGTCTTTAACTTTTTTGGTTAGATTTATTCCTAAATATCTTATACTTTTGGTGGCTATGGTAAATGGAATAACTTTCTTCAGTTCTATCTCAGTCTGCCTGTTATTCGTATACAGAAATGCTATTGTTTTCTGTATATTGATTTTATATCCTGCAACTTTACAGTAATTATGTATTACTTCCAGTAATTTTTCCATGGAGACCATTGGGTCTTCTATGTATACAATCATGTCATCTGCGAATAGAGAGTTTCACTTCTTTTCCTATTCTGATGCCTTTTATTTTTTCCTCTTTTCTGATTAGGGAAAGACTTCTTAAATAAGACTCCAAAGCGCAGTAGATAATCCCCAAAATAGACAAGTGGGATTACATCAGACTAAGATCTGCATGGCAAAAGACACAGTAATTAGTGTGAATTGACAGCCCTCTGAATGGGAAAATATTTTTGTTAATTATGCATCAGATAAGGGTCTGATAAGCAGAATACACAAGGAACTCGAGGTGCTGTTTGAAAAAAAAGATGAGCAGCCCTATTAAAAGATGGGAGAAGGAGTTGAAAAAAATACTCTCTAAAGATGACATACAAATAGCCAAAAGGCATATGAAAAAATGCTCCACATTCCTCATCGTAAGGGAAATGCAGATCAAAACAACATTGAGATACCACCTAACCCCGGTCAGAATGCCTAAGATTAAAAAAACAAAAAATTGTAAGTGTTGGTGGGGGTGTGGTGAAAGGGGAACTCTTTTACACTGCTGGTGGGAATGTAAATTGGTCCAGCCACTGTGGAGAACAATTTGGAGATTCCTCAAAAATCTACAAATAGAACTACCTTATGACCCAGCAATACTACTTCTCGGTATCTACCCAAAGGACAGAAGAATTCTTAATTGGAAAAGTGTTCCACATCAATGTTTATTGTGGCATTATTCATGATTACTAAGACATGGAACCAACCCAAGATGAATGGATTGAAAAACTGTGGCACATATACTCTATGGAATACTATTCAGCCATGAAAAATAGCAAAACCCTGGCTTTTGACAAAAAGTGGAAGAATATGGAAGATTTACTGCTGAGTGAAGCAAGCCAGGTTATGAAGGAGAGACACTGTATGTCACCACTTAATATATACCGAGTGTCTGCACTCTATAACTGAAGCTGATTGACCTAAGGTTGTACAAATACAAGAGATGGGGGTTAGTGCCAGAAGTGGAGTGTGTGGAGAAGAGGGACCTAAGGAATTTGATTTGGAAGAGGGATACGGAGAGAGAACATTGACGGGATGGGGCGGTGTGGTGTTATTGGGATACTCTGATCAACTGGACTGGGGAGAAATGTTCACACACATACTGAAATGTTCACTTTGTAAGCTAAATAATATGATTGAGTTTATATAAAAAATTAAAATAAAAAAGTGAAAAAAAAACATTAATAAGTAACTTAATATTTTTGTTGTTCTGATATTGTTATTCCTGTTATAGAACCATTTTTTTTGTAGTGCAATCTAAAGCATGAGAAATAACATGTTTAAGTTTATTAAAAAAACAAATTACTAATAATGGCAAAAAAATTAAAAAATTAAAAAATTAAACATTTTAATTAATATCTGGAATGATCATTTAAAAATATAAAATTATCTTCCCAAATACGTTTTCAGGTAATTAACTTTTTTTTCTCTCTTTTTTTTTTTTTTTAATTTTGCTATAGGGCATATGTGCTTGCTACAGATTCAAAGAGAGAGGGAAAATGAGAAATCACCCCCTGGGGGGATGGTCATGCCACAATCCTTTCTCTTCCATTCTCCACTGGGGACTTAGAGTACACATGCACACATGCCCAATGTGATTTGGCCACAAGGTCTAGGACTTGAACAGTGGTCAACCATGTGGGAATCCAGTGCCTTTGCCACCATGCCAACTGCTGGCCCAATAATTTACATTCTTTACTTGACCTAAGGCAATAATTTAATACCAAACTATCCCACTCAAGGTCTTATATTAAAGTAATAAAAGGAAAAAAAGGTGAGATTTAATTAGATATTCTAGATCCCATGCTGTTGGCTCAGAATGAATATTATATGTATTAATAAATATGCCTATATTTGGTTTAGAAATTAAAGTACATTATATCTAAATAGAATTTAAAAAATATATAAGATGTTAAATATATACATATGCATATATAAAATTTAATATACAAGTTCTTTTTTCTTTTTTTTTTTTTTGAGAGGTTTTTGCTATAGGGCACGTGTGCTCACCAGACAGACTGAGAGAGAGAGAGAGACAGAAAGCGAGAAATCAACCCCCAGGGGGAATGGCCACGCAGCAATCCCTTCTCTTCCGTTCTCCTCTCGGGACCTTGGGCACGCACATGCGCCCGGTGTGAGTTTTAAGCCACCAGGTCTGGGATGCGAACCGTGGTGACTACATGGGAGTCTAGCGACATAGCCATTACGCTAATTGCTGGTCCCTATACGAGTTTTATATAAAGCATTAGCTATCATAATTTTTATAACATGCCCTTTAGTTTCATAAAGATTCTTCCTTCCCTCAAGAAATATATACTTTTGCTAACAGACTATTACTGGCAGGCTAATCTTTACGATGATAAACTCTGAAAGGTAACTCTTGCTAAGAAGGAACTCTAAGGACAATCCAAGTTTACTCATATATCTTGAACTTTTTCTTAAATAACCCATTACCATTTCTTCCTTACAAACATTTTACTCTATTTACCTTTCCCACCTTTACTTATTTCTTGGAGTAGCTTAATGGCAAACTTTTTCATATCTACAGAGAATAGATGAAGTACGGCAAGACCAAAGGATAAGGATGGTGGTTTCCCATTCCATTCTTTAGTGAGACACTGAATTAATTCAGTTTGGGGACATAATGTTATTAGCTGCATCAGGTCATCTGAAAGCAAAAATGAAAAACAGCCTAATATGATAATTCAACTAGAAACTGAAACCAGTCAATGTCTATACTTGCCAATCAACATTTCTTTTTCCAATCCTTTCAAAGCCTTCAATGATCCACTTCAACCCAAACCCAACAGTACTAACCCTAATTCAAAACACAGCACACTCAGCATAGCAAAAAAAAAAAAAACAAAAAACAAAAAAAAAAAACAAAAACACCTCCAAAGGAAAACAATCCATAACAAAAAGTATTAAAAAAAAGTAAATTTTCAAAAAACTCACAAATAGAAATGTGATAAAAAGGATATAAATTGACAATTAGGAACCCTGAATCTAAAAGTAGCTCCATTAGTTGCTTAATATTTTGGAATTTAATTTTCTCATTTTCAAAGTGCTAGAATTGAAGATAATTTCTAAGGTTCCATTTAATACTACATCATGTTTATCTATATGTTGTTGCTTATATTTGGATCAACCTCTAGTAAGTGCCAAGGCACATAAAGAGGAGCTCAATAATATTTTTCCTAAAAATGTCAGGTATTTAGAAATTTTCACTTGAAGACTTCAAGAAGTAATCAGCTAGCTCAAATAGCTAGAAGTAAACTATGTGAAATTGCTTTAATTTGACCATTTTTTTATCCCCAAAAGAAAAATTACATATGGTTTAATTTACTAGTTAACCATTGAGATCATCTAAAACTACAATTGTGATTTCTTAGATTTATAAATTTTGTATTAGCTTTATAAATTTTTTTTGAAGAGAGATTTTTGCTATAAGGCATGTGTGCTTACCAGAGAGACAGAGAGAGAGGGGGATGGCCATGCCACAATCCCTTCTCCTACATTCCCCTCTTGGGATTGTGGGCACACATGCACATGCACCCAGCATGAGTTTCAACCTTCTGGGTCTAAGGATTCAAACCACAGTAGGCCATGTGAAAATTCAGCACCTTAACTACTATGCCACCTGCTGGCCCCAGTTTCATAAATTTTTCAAAGTAAAAATATTCTTGGGACCAGCAGTTAGCATAATGGCTATGTTGCTGGACTCCCATATAGTCGACCGAGGTTTGAGTCCTGGACCTGGTGGCTTAAACTCACGCCGGGCGTGTGTGCATACATGCCCAAGATCCCGAGAGGAGAATGAAGAAGGGATTGTGGTGTGGCCATCCCCCTGAGGGGTGATTTCTCTCTTTCTATCTCTCTGTCTTTCTGGTGAGCACACTCGTCCTATAGCAAAAATCTCTCCCCCTCAAAAGAAAAACCAAAATTCTTGTAGGCCACAACAGATAAGAATTTCTGAATATTTTCCAAAAGCTGTTCATAAAATAATTTGCCCTCTGAAAATTAATATAAATCTAGTGTTTATTAACACATATTTACACACACATACACATAGAGCTGGAAACTTACATAGATAAATTCATTGAATTTAATGATCATAGTTAATAATATGTCATTATTCTTAAATTACAAGTGAGGAAATTGGTTTAGAGAAGTTAACTTTCCCTGAATTATACACATGGTGTAAAGCAGATCATTCTTTCTAATCTCCAAAGCCCATACCCTTCCCAATCTATAGAGCTACTGCTCCAAATTTTTATATGTATAAATAAAATATGTACATGTATTATGTTTTGTATATACACATATAGTATATAGCATGTGTATATGCCTCTGTATGTGTGTGTGTGTGTGTGTGTGTGTGTGTGTGGTTAGTATCCCATACCTGGAGGTTTGCTTTCTCACTTTCCCTCTCTCCTGCTGGTGAGCGCATGTGCCCTATAGCAAAATTAAAATAATAATAATAAATAAAATTAAATACATAATTCTTAAAAAGAAACTATTTTGGGATGAGCAGTTGGCATAATGGCTATGTTGCTGGACTCCCATGAAGTCAACCATGGTTCCAGTCCCGGACCCCATGGCTTAAACTCACACCGGACCCACGTGCGTGCGTGTCCAAGATCCCAAGAGGAGAATGGAGAAGAGACTGCGGCATGGCCATCCCCACTGAGGGATGATTTCTCACTTTCTGTCTCTCTGTCTTTCTCTGTCTTCTGCTGACACAAACCCCATAAAAAAAAAAAAAAAAAAAAAAAAAACCCCTCAAAAAAAAAAAAAAGAAAAGAAAATATTTTGCTAGAAAAGAGGTGGAAGTCGGGTCTGCCCATGACTGGTTGTTACATAAACTGGATCCCACATTGCCAACTGTGAAGTTTGAGTAGTGGACCTGGTGGTTTGAGAAACACACAAGGCATGTATGTATTCATGTCCAAAATCCCGAAAGAAGGGAGAAACAAAAGAGAAGGAATTGCTGTGTGACCATGTCCCATGAAGGTACTGTCTCTTTCCCATATCCCATGGAGGTAACTGTCTCTTTCCCTCTCTCTCTCTCCAGTGACAAATGTGTCTTCTGACAAATTAAAAAAAGAGAGGTTTTATAACTTGTGTCACTTGAACTGGCCTCCATTCAGGTAAGAGTTATATATTACCCTTCCTCTCCCAAGCTTCTAAAGTATCGCTTCCAAATGCTATAACTCACTCACCTCTCTAATTCATTCAATCAGGTATTCAAATCTGCTTCTCCATAAATTAATATTTACTTATTTATATATAAAAGGTGATCTCTGACTAATTAGAAAGGGCACAAATTGGGGCCAGTCAGTGGCATGATGGTTAATGTGGCTGGATCCCACATAGCTGACTATGTAGTTTGAGTCCCAGACCCAGCAACTTGAAAAGCATGCCAGGAACATGTTCATCCATGCCTGGGATCCTGAGAGGAGACTGAAGAAGGCACTGCAGCATGGCCATCCTCCCTAGCAAATAATTTCCCACTTTCCCTCTCTCTGTTTGTGTCTCTCTTTGGTGAGTGCCTATGCCTTACAGCAAAACTTAAAAAAATAGTAATAATAATTAAATTAAAAAGGGCACAAATTCATGACCCTTTCCCTCTACTTATTTGCTAGATGGCTTCAGAATCCATTTTTTTATTCCTTGCCTTGATGTGTTAATGATTATTATCATACCTCATGTATGTTCTCTTTTAATAAGATTATAAAGCCTATATACTCAGGATGATATCTATTTAACTCACAAATATCTACCATAGTGATTCTCAAAATATGGTCTAAGGTCTGTAAAGTCAAAATTATGTTTATAAAAATAATAAGTTGTTAATTTGCCTTCTTACTCCTATTCTCTCATGAATATATAGTGTTTTTCCAGAGGCGACATGATGCGGGGTAGTACAACAGACTAAATGCAGAAAGAGATAAGAAAAGTCATCTGCCTTCAACTAAGCCAGACATTACAGATTTGTAAAATGTAAAACACTGCATTTGTAAAATGTATAACATTACTCTTTTCAAACAATTTGTTTGGTTTTGGAAAATGATTCCTTTCAATAAAAAATCACATATGGTAACATGTAATGGGTTAATTATTATTTAAAATGAGTTAATTTTTAAAAATTTCTGTTTCAATTTATTTGCATGTGTGTGTGTGTGTGTGTGTGTGTGTGTGTGTGTGTGCTAGAGGGTGCATGTGCCCACCAGAGAGAGAGAAAGTGGGAGAGAAGAAAGCACCAAACCTCCACCCCCCTGGGAGGAATGGTCAGAATGCAGTCCCTTTTTTTCCATCTCTCCTTTCTTTTGGGATTTTGAGTGTATATGCACCTGTGCTTGATGTCTCAAGTCACCAGGCTTGGGACTTGAACCTCACAGTCAGGCATTTGGGATCTGGCTGCCTTAACCACCAGGCCCTTGTTTTAATTTTTAATAGGAAAATATCAATAGATATAACTCACATAAATAAATGCTCTTGGAAAGTATCGCTTCCAAATGCTCAGTGTTTTTTAAGAGTGAAAGAGACCAGAGATTAGAAAGACAGAGCCTCAGATCTAGAATAACCCAGTTTCCAGATAGATATTTAGTATATTCACTGGTGGAATAATATAAAGAAGGTGAGCAAGCAAGTAATTTCAGGCTTTATTCTAGAAATTATTGGGAAGGAATAAAAACCAACCTTACTTTTAAAATAGTGTTGGACCAGCAGTTGGTGTAATGGCTATGTCACTGGACTCCCATGTAGTCGACTGACCATGGTTCACGTCCCGGACCCGGTGGCTTAAAACTCACACTGGGCGCGTGTGCATGTGTGCCCAAGATCCCGAGAGGAGAATGGAGGAGAAGGGATTGCGGCGTGGCCATCCCCCCTGGGGGGTGATTTCTCGCTGTCTGTCTGGCAAATGCACACGCCCTATAGCAAAAACCTCTTAAAAAAAAAGTGTTATATTTTTGGGACAAAGAAGTTATTAAGGATTTTTCTATTTTTCTTTGGGATTTTAAAAAAATTTGTAAATGTAAAAACTGATAGTCAAAATCCGATAAAGAACATTTCCCTCTGAACCAGAAAGTATTAACAAACTGAATCTGTTCCCCAAGACGAAAGATGATGCCTTGAGAAGCTGTGGCTGTTTCTTACTAATGAGTAAAACAAGTGATTTATATTTGCCAGAGAATGCATGTGCTAACCAGAGAGAAAAAGAGAGGGAGAGGGATAAAGCACCCTTTAATGGTACATGGTCACATTGCAATTCCTTCACCTCGATTTCTCTATTCTGTCATGAGTTGAGGCATGCACACACATGCACCCAGGATGTTTTTCAAGAATTAGGGCCAGGATTCGAACTATGTGGTCAGCCATGTGGAATCTAGCTCCCTTAACCACTAAGCCACTGGGCCAATAAACTTACTTTATTTCAGGTTATTATCATTTTCATTTTACAACACTGTGCTCAATAAATTCTAAAGATATACATCAAGGTTCTAAGTACATAGGAGAGTTATTTCTTAAATTATTACAACACACATTTAATTATATTAGATTATGATACACTATTAGAGGAATAGAATAATATGACAGTGAGTTAATCATGCTTTTGGTTTGTTTTTTAAGTTTTTGCTATGGAGCTTGTCACTCAACAGAGAAAGACAGAGAAAGAGAGAAGAAAAGTGAGAAATCCCTTCACAGATGGAATGGCCACAATCCCTTCTCTTCCATTCTCCTCTTGGCTGGCTGTTTGGTTCAAGCCCTGGAACTGACAGTCTTGAGAAGCAGGCCTGGCAAATGTGCATACTCAAAGTCCAGAAAGGAGATAGAATTGGGGAGAAGAGATTGTAGCATGGTCAGCGCCCCTGGGTAGTGCTTTCTCACTTTCCCTCTCTGTTTCTTTCTGGTGAGCATGTGCCCTATAGCAAATTATATATATTTTTATATTTTATATATATTATATATTTTTATATTATATATATTTTATACACACAGACAAACTGCTATAAACAGGTGATCTCACAATTAATATCCAGAATTCAAATGCACACAAGTAAGTAGGCTTTTTTTGCTTACCGTAAGTAAAGTCCTTGAACTGTTGTATGTATTCCATGGCCCCATGAATCTGACCCTGTTTACACAGACAAAGAAGAGCTTTCTTGTGCAGACCACATTCATGGTAAATAATCTGAGCTAAAGCCAGGCATTTGGCATTGTTGTAAGTATCCTGCTCCCCATAATCACAAATCACATCCCCAGCTTCCTCAGAAAATGTCAGCCTAGAACAAACAGATCAATAAGGCAAATAGAGAATTTTTGATGAGTAGTTGAGACTAAACTATTTGAAAATTGAGCATAGTAGAACTAGATTTTCTATGGCTTGTAAGAATTCCAAGTCAACAGGCAATTGTTGATGAAGGAGAAATTAAACATATCTGAGATTTAACAAGAACAAAAATAATCAGTGTGCACTTCTTTGGGGAAAGATGTTTTGGTGAAGCTGAGATCAAGTTATTTTTTGTTTTTGTTTTTGTTTTTTTTAAATCCACAAACAAGGTTAAAATTCTCCTGAAAAGACTGATAGAAATTTAAAGTACAATGTAAACAAAAATTATCCTATAATGGGGGGAGGGGGGTTTCTCAGTGTTCTCCTCTGGTATCTAGATTCTATATCCTGCAGATGGTAAGAACTTATTAAATGTTGCTTACTCAACTACTGATATTTCAGCTCGTAATTAGTGATTATCTTGCAAACATTTGTATGAAAAGGAAAACAGAAAGTATAATACTGTTGTTCTTTTAAAACTTGTTAAAGATTTTGGGTACAGCGGATGGTGTATGTCGCTGGACTCCCACATAGTCGATCACAGCTTGAGACCCAGACTCGGTGGCTTCAAAATCACTCTGGGCACATGTGTGTGCATACCCAGGATCTCAGAAGAATGGAGAAAGGACTGCAGTGTGGCCATGCCCATGGGGAATGATTTCCCACCTTCAAACTCTCTTGTCTCTCCAGTGAGTGTGTGCGCCCTATAGCAAAAATCTCTCTTGCTAAAAAAAAAATCAAAAAAATTTGTTAGAGATCTTTAAGGAGCAACTGATGGGGGGTGGGAGTATATCATAACTGTGCCTATTAGGAGAGACTGAAGAACCAGTTCTTTTGAAATGGCTCAATGAAATAGATTGCACTTATCATGTGTGTGTGTGTGTGTGTGTGCGCTCACCAGACAGACAGAGAGAGACAGAGAGATAGAAAGTGAGAAATTACCCCCCAGGGGGGATGGCCACATTGCAATCCCTTCTCCTCCATTCTCCTCTCAGGATCTTGGGCACGCATGCACAAACACCCAGCGTGAGTTTAAGCCACCAGGTCTGGGACTCGGACCGCGGTCAACTAACTACAAGGGAGTCCAGTCACATAGTCATTATGCTAACTGCTGGTCCCGTCATATTTTTAATGCACCATCTTCAGCACAACTGAAGTGAATCATCTGTATTTAAATGACAACTCCACCTAGAAACTATCAGCAATAGCCCCCCCCCAAAAAAAATGGGTACGATTAAAGAAAGATATCACTTCCAATTACTGGTTGTATGGAAATTGTGCTTTAGTTATATATTTTAATCAATAGCTACAAAATAGCAGCACTCACTTAACACTGGTGTCTGTATACATCTAACAAAATGCTGACAACATTAGAATGAGATCCTAAAGCCCCTACAGAATGTCTCTTTACTAAGAATTCAGTAAAGAAAGCCTTCCGTGTTTTTTGGAGTTGGTAGCAGAAGGTTTACTTGAATACAAATCAATTATTTAGTTAAGCACTCCCCTGACCACTATACTTTAATACTGAAATATGGATTTTAGTAACTATAGTCACTATAGTAATGATTTTAGTCTATGTAGTGACTGCAATATGACAGTAAATTAAAACAATCAAAATTTAGTATTTATTTCTCATATTAATGTCTTTTTTTTTCTTTTGGCTATAGGGTGCATGCGCTCGCCAGAAAGACAGAGAGATACAGAGAGACAGAAAGCAAGAAATCTATCCCCCAGGGGGGATGGCCACACCATAATCCCTTCTCCTCCATTCTCCTCTTGGGATCTTGGGCATGCAAACACATGCTCCTGGCATGAATTTAAGCCACCAGGTCTGGGACTCGAACCACAGTCGACTACATGAAAGTCCAGTGATGCAGCCATTATGCCATCTACTGGTCCCTCGATGTCATTTTTTAAAGAGAGATTTCTTGCTTAAGGCAGGTGTGCTCACTGGAGAGACAGAGACAGAGAGAGAGAAAGCAAGAAATCACCCTACGGAGGGATGGCCACGCCACAATTCTTTCTCCTCCATTCTCCTCTCAGGATTCTGAGCACACATGCACACATGCCCAGCATGAGTTTCAAGCCACCAGGTCCAGGACTTGAACCACAGTCAACCATTGGAAGTCCAGCAGAACTACCATTACTCTATCTGCTGGTCCCATATCATTGTTTTTGTTTTTGTTTTTGTTTTTTAAAGTGTTCACCACTATGATGTTGTTCTACCCAAGGGGAGGCCTGAGCTGGACAATGGGCCTAGGAATCTACCCCACAACGCCCGACTTCTTCTCTGGCCCCCACCCAATCATTTCATCATATCCTCTATTTTCTTAAAGTCCTTGTTGTTTTTTTTTTCCATCCCTACTCTCAACACTAAGAAGACTTGAGGACTTCTGAAAATAGATGTGAGACCAAACTCTCTGGAGAATACAGATGACTAATCAATTAAAGAAAATATATTCAACCCTATTAGTAAACTGGGGCTATTTTATTACAAATCAGGTGTCTGTTTAATTTTTAATGTCAAAATAAAGGTAAGAGGTGACCAGCAGTTGGCATAATGGCTATGTTGCTGGACTCCCATGTAGTTGACTGTGGTTCGTGTCCCGGACCTGGCGGCTTAAAACTCATGCCGGGCTCATGTGCGCATGTGCCCAAGATCACGAGAGGAGAAAGGAGGAGAAGGGATTGCGGCCTGGCCATCCCCCGGGGGATGATTTTTCGCTTTCTGTCTCTTTGTCTCTCTCTGTCTGTCTGGTGAGCACACACGCCCTATAACAAAAAAAACAAAAAACAAAAACAAAACAAAAAAAACATAAACAAAAAACACCTCTCAAAAAAAAGAAATAATCACTAAATCCATGCATGATATTTATTTACTGTTATTTTCAGGTTTGTAAACTTAACATTTGAGTGGATGTTTATCCTTTTCTAGATATAATGTCTGCAATTTAGAGTGCTAAAACCAGTAAAGCGCCATTTCTTAAATTTATGATTTGTGGGCTTTTCCCAGCAAAGAATGACTAAGAGAGCTGTGATTAGCCCATTAATCCAGGCTGTTTTAGGGCTGGCTTTCTGCTGAGCTTCTGGGAAAGATTCAGAAAACCTTTTAAAGTATTCATGTGGTAGAGGCCAAATCATCAGAGGTACAAACCAGAAGAGAGAGGCTAAGAATAAAGGATGCAAATTTCTTTGACTGTTTTCTGTCTTATTATCTTAGATACTTAACAGTAGTGGCATTTTCTCAATTTATGCAGTCAGTGAACAGCATAAGAATCGAATAATTTAATATTACAACTAAGAGAATAGGCGAAGCATTTTCACTGTGTGTAAGGAAATTAATGTCTGAAGTATCTCCATATTAGGTATCAGGTTTAGTAAAGAACCTGCACTTTTTTTTAAAGAATTATTTAATTTCATTTATTATTATTATTGCTTTAAATTTTGCTACAGGACACATGCACTCACCAGAAAGAGAGAGAGAGAAGGAAACCAAGAAAGCAAGGCCCAGGACTTGAACCATGGTCACTCATGCATGTGGGAGTCCAGCGCCCTTAACCACCATGCTAACTGTCAGCCCCTATAAGCTGCATTTTCTGAGATGTCCTCAATCAGAACCATTTCCAATGTTTTCTCTAAGTACTTTTTTTTTTTTTTTTGGAGAGATTTTCACTGTAGGGCGCATGCGCTCGCCAGACAGACAGAGAGAGACATAGAGACAGAAAGCGAGAAATCACCCCCCAGGGGGGATGGTCACACCGCAATCCCTTCTCCTCCATTCTCCTCTCGGGATCTTGGGCACGCACGCACATGCGCCTGGCGTGAGTTTTAAGCCACCGGGTCCGGGACGTGAACCGCGGTTGACTACGTGGGAGTCCAGCAACATAGCCATTACGCTAACTGCTGGTTCCCCTCTAAGTACTTTTTGTGAAGAGTACAGAAATGTGGCTAGGCAGAGAAAGAAAAAACAAGAGAGAAAAGAAAGATATTCCTAAAACAAAAGTATTATGTAGACACGAAGTAAAGGCCACAACAAGAGGAGTGGGAGAAACTCTTTGCCCTGGTAAACAACAGTGCTGAGCTGTATGACTACCCAGGGTTGTGCAGAGGAGATAGAGTTGTAATGGGTGGCAGTAAGCACTGGTAAGGAAACCTGCCACTTTAAGTTTGGGACATTTTTAAGTCATGGATTTATTTGGAGTTGCTTATATTAGTTCATCTACCTCCCTTTTAAGATCATGTATTTCTTAAAGGTGAGAACTAACTATTCTTTACAATGTATCCTATGTCCTTATCCATTCAGAGCCAAGGAAGCATAGGGTGCAATCAGCAGGCCAAAGCTACCAGACAGATGCCAAGGGCTATCCCCACTCTGCCTTCCAGTCCTCACAGCCCAACCCATGTCCACACAGACCCAACATATGCAGCAGGTATCTATCCTCAGAAGAATCTTCATAAGCCCTTATGATATACGCTGTTTTGGTGCCTTACTCACGTTCCCTTTACCAGACCAATGCTCTTTCTCCAGACAACAGACTACAGCTCCCCGTTCTCTGAAGAATTGTCCTCGGGTGAGTGGAATTATCTCACCCAAAAAAGTATGCTTATCCCACAACCTCCAGTACTCCACTGCCAATGACTCACTGATAAGAGGTACAAAAGGCCAGGTCCTTAATCAAGAGGAAATAATTCTGTGTTATAGTTTACACTCCACAGCCCTCTCTGTGATGATGGCTAATACTAGACTTCACCCAAGTACATAGTCTTGGTTGACTTCCCTATCCTATTTCACTCTTCCCTTTATGAATATCCCTGAGGAGCAGTCTATGAGTAAGTGATCTGTACCCAAATCCAAATATGAAGCTTTTTTCAAGGGATTAGGGAACCTAGAGTTTGCTTGGCAATCTTGGGACTTTTAGCCTCCCTAACTGCATGAGCCAATTTCTTATATAT